CCCCAAAACCCCAAAACCCCAAAACCCCATCCGAGTAAATTCTGCGAAATTTTCAGGAATTATTAGATAAATAAGCATATTCTGATTAAATCTTAAATAATGGGATATTATTTAAAGTGTAGATGTTTTAATAATTTATAATTAGAATAACTAGATGAATAAATCAATTGATGTCGCAAGACGCTCACAAGCATTTTTCGTAATACTTTAGTACCTAAGACCAGGGTTGAGAACTAGACTGCAACTGCTTTGCAAACATTTTTACAATAAAATTATCCCTTAGATGGTCTAAACTTTTCCAATTTTAAAAACTAATAAAGATGACTACTTCGAGCTTTTCAAGGATTAACAAGTCATCAGAATAAATCAGAGTTAGAGTTAAACAATCTTACATTAGTAAACAATCAGACAGCTCTTAAATACCAATTTGGATCCTCTATAGTAGGTTGTTTAGTAATGGAAAGACACCAAGTTAGATGTCCCTGCTGGGTTTTAATTTGAGAAAATGATATTTGTAAATTATCAGTGCTACCTCTTCAACTCAACAGCATCAGCAATGAAGGTTTATAAATTGATTAACAATAAAGTAATTCTAGCAAGTGAGACTAAATTGTCAAATGCCATCCATTCTTGCTATGTTACAGTGCAAAATCGATATATTCTTAGAATAGGAGGATATTAAAATTTAGTTGATGAGAAAAAATCAAAGTAGTTGGTAATTACTCCAAAAAATGTCCATAAATGCAGCACAAGTTATGACTCTAATATTTATGCATTCGACATTTTAACTAATGAGTGGATAACTTCTAACAAATTCGGTAAATTAAGTAAAATTAGGCACGGCTGCTCAGCATCAGTTCACAAGAATTTTATATATGTATTCGGAGGAAGCTACTTTATTCAAAGCGGGCCTCGAATGAACACATAAAGTCACTAATCAACAATTGAGAAGTAGGACTTACTAAATCCTGGAAAAGTATTTTAAGTCATAGATTTTAAGATGAAGATCCCTATGTAAACTTTATACTCTAGCCAAAATCTTCATTCAGATGACTTTTTTATCTTCGGATAAATAGAGAGTAAGGCTAGCGCTTATAAATCGAAGTAAAGCAAATTGGATTTTAACTTCTACCGATATAATGTCACTACTCATAAATATAAAAAAAAAGACCAAGATCATGTAGTTCATAAGATTTTAGATTCAATTTAGTCTTAAGGATTAGAGAAGTTGAAACAAAATACCAACTTTTAAGATATAAGATCATTTAACGGTATTCACGTGATTACGAATGATTTCGGTGCTATTGTATATTAAGACTAAGAAATATTCCATCACTAGTACATATTAAGTTGGAAAGTTGGATAAGATGCAATGAAATAACCTGATGCTCCAAAACCAAAGCAATTAAAACCATCAGTTAACAACTCTTTAATTGTTAATAGCTAAAACTTGAAAAAGAGACCATAGACTGCGTACCCAATACAAAAGCCCACATTGGCTTAAAGAGCATAATCTGCAGTCACTAGACCTGTAGTATCAAGAAGATTGGCTTTAGCAAATATAAACTAAAGATGAAACAAATTAAACTCCATTAAATACTTATAGCCCTAAAAATATAATAATCAAGAGCAAAATATATATTTGGAAGAATCATTATTTATAGTTAAAGATTAATTAATTTCTTAAAAACTAACCATTTTTGTTTATAAAACTACATGGGGTTTTGGGGTTTTGGGGTTTTGGGG